CACACCAGCGGAGCTCCGGCTGGAGATTATCTTTCTTGACAGACTGGGAGGTCTGGGTGATCTCCAAGCGAGTCCTCGCGGCCCATGGATTCTCCTTGCCAGATGAACCTCGTCTTTCCCTTCTCATCTTCTGCTCAGTTGGTTTGAGGAACTTCAATTCTTCTGGCAGGTTGGTCCCACTCTTTCCCTTCCTTTGGGGGAGAAACACTTCAGTTCTACTTTTCCAGCCCCACCGTGGGGCTCCCTTAACACTGGAGGGGGGTCCTCTCTGTTCCCCACTCCCAGGTGGGTTCAAGACAACCTTCACTTGGGTGCTTCCACACATCAACCAGGATCTCGGCAACGTTTTGCCACCACCCAATGTCTGGAGATTCTGACGTTCCCTCGAATGAGGGGGTCAAGAGGGATGGAGAACCCAACCTGGAACCCAACGAGACCAGGGAGGTCGTTTTGGGGGGCCTGCCCAGAGAAGAGCCCCGGAGAGGACTTAGGTTGAGGAGCTCCTGAAGGCCACATTCATCCACCTGGAACGGGTGGGCAGACATGAAGTCAGCTTGTCCAAGCGAACCACCACAGAATCTCCTCACGGCTCTGGTCCTCCGTGCTGAATTTCTTCCAAGCTAACATGGAGAATTTTAATAATGATAATAGTAATGATAATAATAAAGTTGGAAGGGACCTTGGAGGTCATCTAGTCCAACCCCTTGCTCATATACCATTTCGGACAAATGGCTGTCCAGGTCTCTTCTTAAAAACGTCCAGTGTTGGAGCATTCACCGCTTCTGGAGGCAGGTGGTTCCACGGGTTTAATTGTTCTATGGAACAATTTCGATCCTCTGTTTCAACCTCCTCATGACAGGTAGTCCTCGACTTACGACAATCTGTTTAGTGACCGCTCGGAGTTACAACGGCACTGGGGAAAATGACTTATGACCCTTTTTCACACTTAACAACCATTGCAGCATCCCCCGTGGTCACATTAAAATTCAGACACTTGGCAACTGACTTGTACTTATGATGGTTTCACTGTCTGGGGTGTGTATGTGTCATGCGATCCCCTTTTGGCGACCTTCTGACCAGCAAAGTCAACGGGGAAAAGCCGGATTCACTTCACAACTATCTTACTAACTTAACAACTTGAGTGATTCGTTTAACAACGGTGGCAAGAAAGGTTGCAAAACGGGGCAAAAACTCACTTAAGAAATATTTCCACACGGCAACGGAAATTTTGGGCTGTTGCGGTCGTAAGCCGAGGACTACCGTTACCACTTCCGGAAGATCCATTTTGGGGGGGCGAGAGGGGGGAGGTGGGCAAAACCCCATTCTCCCCAAAACGAAAGCCGCAACCACAGTGAGAAAACTTTTTTTTTTTTTAGCGTCAAACATCCAATGCAGTAACAAAAGAACAAAAAAAAAAAAGGTAGGGCCTCATTCAGGGTCCTGGCTGCCATTTTTACTTTTCTGACACCTCCCCAAAAGGACACTCTGATATCAGCCTAGGCCAAGGGGTAGGCAACCTGGGCTCTTTTATGACTTGGGGACTTCAACTCCCAGAATTCCTGAGCCAGCCATGCTGAGGGGAAAGGGAGAGGTTTCCAAGCTGAGCCATGCTGGCTCAGGAATTCTGGGAGATGAAGTCCACAAGTCATGAAGGGGCCATAGTTTCCCCCATGCTGGCTGAGGAATTCTGGGAGTTGAAGTCCACGAGTCATGAAGGGGCCATAGTTCCCCCATGCTGGCTGAGGAATTCTGGGAGTTGAAGTCCGCAAATCATGAAGGGGCCAAAGATTCCCCCATGCTGGCTGAGGAATTCTGGGAGTTGAAGTCCACAAGTCATAAAGAGGCCATAATTCCCCCATGATGGCTGAGGAATTCTGGGAGTTGAAGTCCACAAGTCATGAAGGGGCCAATAGTTTCCCCATGCTGGCTCAGGAATTCTGGGAGTTGAAGTCTACAAGTCATAAAAGGGCCATGGTTCCCCATACCTGGTCTAGGCCATCTAAACGTTGAAGCTGAAACAAATTTATACCAAGCTTATAAATACGGCAAAATCAAGACAAGAATCAAGACCGACAATGGGCTAAAAAGACTCTATCCCAGCATAGCTGGCTGGGGAATTCTGAGAGTTGAAGTCCAGCCATCTTAAAGTTGCTGAGGTAAAGAACTACTGCTCTAGTCATCTTTCTTCCTCTAGATCAGGGTTTCTCAACCTTGGCAACTTTCAGAAGGATGGACTTCAACTCCCAGAATTCCTGAGCCAGCCATGCTGAGGGGAAAGGGAGAGGTTTCCAAGCTGAGCCATGCTGGCTCAGGAATTCTGGGAGATGAAGTCCACAAGTCATGAAGGGGCCATAGTTCCCCCATGCTGGCTCAGGAGTTCTGGGAGTTGAAGTCCACAAGTCATGAAGGGGCCATAGTTCCCCCATGCTGGCTCAGGAATTCTGGGAGTTGAAGTCCACGAGTCATGAAGGGGCCATAGTTCCCCCATCCTGGCTCAGGAATTCTGGGAGTTGAAGTCCACGAGTCATGAAGGGGCCAAAGTTTCCCCCATGCTGGCTCGGGAATTCTGGGAGTTGAAGTCCACGAGTCATGAAGGGGCCAAAGTTTCCCCCATGCTGGCTCGGGAATTCTGGGAGTTGAAGTCCACGAGTCATGAAGGGGCCA